GGCATCCCTTGATAGTTCCTGGTCCACTGGTTTAATCTGAATTGGTTATTAAAATCCTATTCTTTTTGGGTGTCCTTTTATAGTTCAACACACTCTGCTTATGTTTTTTATTTCTGACCACTGAGTTTGTTCATTTGCTAGCATTCAACTTTCTTCACTGACACTCTTCTGTCAATGCAAAACTAAAAACAGAAACAAAAACCACAACTTTCACCACCAAAGGAATACGAACTAGATACCGGTGATCATGACCCAGACATACAGAATTATGTCACCTCATTCATTGTCCAAGGTGGTAACAGTTTGATGAAGTTTTTATAGCATCGGAGCAAAGAAACTCATAAATAAAGGCAATTTTGCAATACATGGACAGAAACATGAAGTAAACAGTTCAGCGAAGTGGAGACACTTCCGCTGTGGGCCTTAGATGCTTTCTGACAGTATTCGTAGCTGGTAGAAAGCAGAGTTCTGGGAAGCTGATACATTCCAAAAGGTTTCCATCCGTCAGTCACAGGATATCAGGTCCCACACAGACGTGGGGAAGCAGTGGTTATATGGATGCTAAAGACAGTTCGACGCAAATTGTAATTAGGCTCTAGACTTGCAGCATTTCAACCTCTCCACAGTCATTAAGTCTAACCAGTTAACCAGCCTTACAGAAGGTTTAGCTGATGGTGCAATATCTAACTCAAGAAAAGAGACAATGTTTAAAAGCTGCTGTCTAGCATTCCAGACAGTCTTATGATTAATGACACTAACTCAAACTTGAAAGTCTTGATAAATGTTTTAAATCCTAGCTAAGAACCCTGTCTTTTTTTTTTTTTAAGTCTTGTGCAATAAAACAAACGATCATAGATGGCTTTTGGTTTTTTGTTTTGTTTTGGTTTTGTTTATGGAACAAAGTCAATCTGTCCCTAAAATCTCTAAAAATAATAATAATAATAACTGAATAATAGAACCTGTAGCCAATTCACAATATTACTGTTTTTGGAATGTCTATGTAAAATGTATATGGGTCTGTGTGCACTCATATATGTGTGCCACACCACAGCACATGGAGTGCATCTTAAATCCAGCCAGTATTGGATAGTATTTTGTTGTTCCCATAGCATTCATGCCTCTATTGTACCAAGGGACATGTCTTGCCAGACCAGCATTACTGTAGCTCTCAGAGACTGATGATGACTTTTCTCCTCCAGTAGCATACTTAGCACTTTCAACACTATGAAAGTTAGCTAGCAGGAGGAAAATTCCAGGTCAGTGTTAATGTGACTTCTCCATGTTCTATGACTGAAGTATGTGGTGTCTTCAGCAATAGGGTTTCATTGTCAGGTTCTGGAGAGTAACTAAAAGCAATCGCAATAGTGTAGTGGGTAGCCATTCCAGCTTTGATCTGGAAGTTCCAACCTCCAATCAGGCTTCGGTAACTCACACCTACAAGATGGGGCCAAGAGAGGGCCTTGAAGACCCAAGATCCACATGCGCCGCCTTCTCTTGGTTCCTGGACCCTGGACGCTAGAGGTAGACCAAGCAGAGTTCTCCAGAGAACACTGCCAGACTGTGCTACATCTTCCCCAGACCCTGTAACCTACCTATCCCTTCATTTGTAAGGTATGCCACTAAATAAACCTCCCTTTTAACTACGTGGAGTGGCCTTAATAATTTCACCAATACAATAGCCTGTAATGTTTGGAGGTTTATGAGATTCCACTGGCCAACAACTCCAAAACAAGTAACCCAATCACACACTGGATTTTTTTTTATGTATCAGCCTGTGGTACCTAGTAGGGGCATTGTCCTTGTGTTACAGGGTGACCCCATTTAAACTTTTTTTTTATATGTATAAGTATATATTTTAGGAATATTCTGCATTAATAAATTTCCACATGACTTTTTCAAAAAGTTTTTAGTGTTATTTACCCTTCCCAGTTCTTCCTTCTCTACCCTGCCCTCCCATCCCCCACTCCATCTGACCATTCCTGTTCCATTATTCCTTTTCCCACTTTATGTAACTTCATTATATATCTCCTCCTCTGAAAGCCTCTAGTATGGCCCCTTCCTAGTTTCTGGACATCCATGTGTATTCCAAAGGAAACAGAATATATGTAAAGATTCAAAGCTAGCATCCACATATGAGAGAGAGAGTGATGTTCAGGTCTGGGTTGTCTCACTCAAGATGATTGTGTCCAATTCTATCTATTTGCCTATTAATTTCATAGGTTTGTTTTTCTCAACAGATGAATAACAACCCATTATGCAAATATGCCACATTTTCATTATCCATACATCAATTGGTGGACAATTAGGTTGTTTTCAATTCCTGAATATTGTAAATAGAGCAGCAATGAGCTTAGATGAGCAAGTATCTCTAGAGTAGGATACAGAGGCGTTTGGGTAGATGTCCCCTAAGGTATAGTTAGCATAGTTGGCATAGAGTGGTATAGTTGGATCATGTGACAGATCAATTTCTAGGCTTTGGAAGAACCTCCACACTGATTTCCACAGTGGCTCCACCAGTTTGCACTCCCATCAGCAGTGAATAAGTGTGCCCCTTTCCTCATATGCACTCCAGCACTTGTTATTGGTTTTTTGTTTGTGTGTGTGTTTCTTGTCTTAGCCATTCTTATTGGGGTAAGAGAAATCTCAAAGTAGTTTTGATTTGCATTTCCTTGATGGCTACAGCTGTCAAACATGCTGTGTGTGTGTGTGTGTGTGTGTGTGTGTGTGTGTGTGTGTGTGTGTATTAGTCATGTGCACTTCATCCTTTGAGAACTTTTTGTTTAGTTCCTTGCCCCAACTTGTAACTGGCCTGTCTTCTTGATGTTGAATTTTTTGAGTTCTTTTTATATTTTGCATACTGGCCCTCTTTCAGATGTAAATATTTTCCAACTCTGTAGACTGCTGTTTCACTTGGATGATTCCATTGTTTGCTCTATAGAAGCTTTTAGTTTCATGTGGTCCCTTTTGTCAGTTGTTGGTCTTAATGTCTGTGCTGCCAGGACTGTTAAGAAAGTCTCTTCCTGTGTCCATGAGTTCAAAGATATCTCTTACTTTCTCCTTTATCAGTTTCAGGGCGTCAGGTCTTATGTTGAAGCACTTGGAGTTAAATACAGGGTGAGAGATAATGATCTAGCTTGATTCCTCTACATGGAGCTATCCAGTTTGACCAACACCATTTGTTGAAGATGCCATCTTTTCTCCAGTGTTCATTTATGGCCTCTTAGTCAAACATCTGTAGTAAGTGGCTGTATGTATGTGAATTTCTATCTCGGTTTTCATCTATATATCAACCAGTGTGTCTGCACTTATGCTATAACTATTAAGATGATAACCTCTTAGATGCCTCTAATACTAAAGGTGATAAGTACTTTAGTTCAAATTTTTCACCTCAGACTTGAACCAACTTCTGCTGAAGCTGTGGTCTACAGAAATGCTGGGTGATATTCTTCATCTACAATGACAGTTGAATACCCCAAGTAACAGTTCAAAATTCCAACAATATTCCCAATTCTCAGTTTCTATATTTCTTAAATTATTTTTCATGTTTAGATATTTAATTGTCTAAGGCATTTGGAATTTTCGTTAGTATGTTCTAAATGACTGACAGTGATAATCATGGCTTTAGTGAAGGTTCAAATGAAGATAGTGTGTCTTTACTTCATCATGCTTTTGTTACGTCCGTTCATCTACTCAAACTTCAAGTCTTACTTGAAACAAGTCTTCATTTCGGGAAAAGGTTCTGTAGACAGAGTAAAAATAGACAGTTGGATTAAGGAGCATGATGACTCATGACATGCTGAAGAATTTTGGCAACCCACACTTCTTCAGGTCATGATGTCTTTTCAATTATTTCAACCTTAGATATCTACTGTCATGTGTTGCATTTAAATGTTGTGTCTGACTGATAGAGGGTAAAAACGAGAAAAATTGTACAATATTAGCCATTTGCTCATGATGGCTAATATAATGGATATAATCCAGGAATTACTTCCTGAGTGTCTTTACCAACTATGTCCCTCACTTGAAAACTTTCTTTCTGCCTACTAAGCCATGCATAGAGTAGATTCTAAAAATGAGACTTCTTAGCACAGTTGTGCATGGCACTATTTGGCCTTCACACACATTGAACAGGGTGCTTGACCCATAGGGTGATTGTGAGTTGAAGTTCCCAGACAAAAAGCCACACATATATTAAGGATTCTGCAAAGAAATGGAAACCTTTATGATATAGAGAGCTATGCCCCTGTAGGGTACCACCCACCTCAAGGTCCCCTCTACTGTAGGACTAGCACATGCTGCCCAGTCCTCTGGGATGTGCAGGCTGTGTCCGATATATAAAGCAATTCTGTAACAGCAGCATTTGCCAGGCTGATATGGGAGAATCACAGAACAAGGACAGCCTGGGGTCCAAGTAAGTTCTGGTCTAGCCAGGTCTACCAAGTGAATCCTCATCTCAAAAACCAAACAACAACAACAACAAAAATACCTAACAAGAAGGGCTGTGGTATCATGGCAGTTCAGTGGTAGAATACTTTCACACCATGTGCAAAGCCGTGGCTAACGTAAAATTCCTAGTAACAGGAAGAGAAAGAAGGAGACAGAAGAGAAAGGGACTTACAGACTTGGGTTGACTGCTTTTCCAGAGCTCTTTGGAGCACATCTGGGTTCTGAGGAGCCCACCTGCCTTAGGGTTGCAGCAGCCTGGTGTCAAAATGGCCAGAGGCAAAGATTTAGCCTATCTCCAGCCTCCTGGCACCCTCTCAGGGGAAGACTCTGATCTCTCTTTATGTCATGATAACCTTAGTCTATTCTTTCTTCCATACAGATGTTTTTCCCTTCCAAAGAAATCAGAATCCCTGATCCAATGGTATCACTTCCTCTAAGTTGCTAGGTTCACACGCTTACCTTTCAGTTTCTACTTCCTTCTGCGTTCCAGGCAACCACCTCATACTCTGATGCTACTCAGCACAGCCCAGATCTCACTTTTATCTTTCATTAGGCAACACCCTCCTTGCCAGGCTCCCTGCTCCCTATAAAAGACAGATGGAGCCTCCAGATTAGAAGAGTTAGACCAACCCAGAAGACTCGAGCCTTCACTCCAAAGTCCTTGCTCTCAACATGAAGATCTCTGCAATGCTTCTGTGTCTGCTGCTCGTAGCTGCCACCATCAGCCCAGGAGAGATGGCTGAGCCAGGTAAGGCATCTTCTTTCCTAAGGTAATGGTTTAGTAGGTTCTAACATCTGAGTACAAGGCATCCCAGAGCTGATGTAGGGTCTGCAGTTTTAAGATGGAGAGACTAAGACTACAGGAGGAGTTAGAAAGAGTATTTGTGTCCCAGCTTGCCAGAGAGCCATAACCAAGTGTTCAGACCACTGAGACCAGGCCCTGTGATGTCTCTTGATACCAATCCTGAGATAAGATGCTGTGTGTAGCCACTACAGATACTGTCCTAGCCTTCTTGGGAGAGGTGACCCAGAAGTGGCCCTGTAGGTGAGAAGGACATCTCAAGCAATAGAGGAGTGACAGGAATTAAAGCTTGGAGAAGCACTCTGGGGTCATGGTCCACAGAGGCTTCCAGAACACCAGCCACATATGGATACTGGAGAGGTTTCTTAGTGTAAGAATAGGTTGACTCTAAGCCCACAGCAGCAAGGTAATGGACAGCAAGTTCTTAGAACTTACTTTCCTGTATCAGAAATATGGGATCAGTCAATGAGATTTTATTATAAACAGACATCAGTGAGGAACCCTGTAGTTCAACAGAGGACATCAACTTCTAGATCATATTCTGTCCCTAGAATCTAGAAACAGAACTTGAGAGCCATGGCTCCTAGGTACAGCCCAGCCTTCACCTTCCCTTGTGAGAGCACCCCGTAGCATCCTCTGCCCCTCTCTTTCAGATGAAGTGCCCCTTCCAGTTGCCTGCTGCTTTTCTGTAATCTCGAGGAAGATCCCCTTGCGGAGGCTGCAGAGCTACACCAAAACCAGTACCCAGTGTCTCCTGACAGCTGTGATGTAAGTGATCCCTACCCAGAATACCCAGCCAAAGTTTCTGGGGATAGTGGTCAGGACACACAGGCAAATGAATCCAACAAATACAGCCTGATGTCTGAATGGCTCCTTACTGACATAGGGAAACTGACTGGAGGAGAGGGGATCCATAGCTTTCCAGGAGCTTGGAGGGATTTGCTCCAGGTCCTTTACCCAGTAGATAAGACAGCTTCAACTAGGACAGCAAGACCAAGTCTTCCTCCTCAGACTTCTTCCTTCTCCCTTCCTCGTCTTCCCCTCCTGCCCAGCAGCTCCTTCATCTATAGAGCAAGAGTGGATGAGGTCTGGGGACCTATGGGCCATGCCCTGAGCATGACTTCTTAGCATGTCATCTCTCCACAGCTTCAAGACCAAGCTGGGTAGAGAGATCTGTGTGGACCCCAAGCAGAAGTGGGTCACTGATTCCATGAAGTTCTTGGACCAGAAGTCTCAGACTCTGCAGGCTTGAAACTTCACACTCGGGCTGAGAGAGAATCAGAGCCGGAAGTTCTCCCCTAACTTTTCCAGGCACAGAGTTGTTACAAGCAGATGGTGTCTGGGCTGGGTGTTCCCTTATCCTTGTCTCTTACCTGAAATAATTCTAATTACTTCAAAATTATTCAAAATCCATCCTATCTGAATAGCTTCAATAAAAGCTCATACAGATCTGTAAATGTAACATGGAAATGTTTATTCAAAGCAAAATGATGGAAAGATAAAATCACTATCAGAGAGCAGCAGGCTACATGCGTGAAGATTTTTAAGGGTTCTGATTTATTGTCTGAGGTTTCATTTTATGGGGTTCAAGGGAAGGAGCTTGGTTACTAGAGATATAAAATGGGTGGTTCTCTATTTTGATTGACAGGGTTGGGTTACATAAATCTTTGGTCACTGCTCATGTCCCTTCCCATAATGTACCTGCTTTTTTATCATATGCATGCCCAGTTGTGCCTAAGCATAGAATGGTAAGTAGGGTATTAGCTCTGAAAGTTCACTTAAGCATACATGTTTGCCTCATTGCATGGTCTGCAAACTGATCTAGGCTCAGTTAGCCCCAGACTGTGTTCCAGATTGTGTTTGACTAGAAACAAGGCTTATCAAGGGGTTACTAAGTGGAGCAATTGATTTCATCATTTAAAGCTTTTTGCATGCGGGGATGCTAGGTTGCTAATAAGTTTCTTGGTATATTCTTCAGAGAGGGGTTGTGTACATAGCCCAAACTAAGTAAAGTCCAAGTTGCTAAGATATTCCTTATGCCTGCTTGCCTTAACTTCCTCATGAAAGACTTTTCTTTCTAATTCATAGAGAGCGATATCCTCTGTGTCTGACACATAAACATGTAACACACAATAGGAACACCATCAATATTAGTATTAGTCATGGTTCTCTAGAGAACCAGAGCCAACAGAATGAATACATATTAAAAGAGGATCCACTGGATTGGCTTACACTGGTTGGGCCAAGTAGTCCAGCAATGGGTGTCTCTGTACCTTGGCAGTTCCAATCTGATGCCAAAGCCTGGAGGATTCTTGGAGAACCACTGGTCTTCATTCTATGGTGGAAGCCCAAAGAAGCTAGTTCTAGTATCAGTAAAGGAATCAACATCATCAGCAGCAACTGGGTAGATGAACTTGCCAATGAGAGTGAAGGTCAAGTAAGAAAAAAAAAGTTTCCTTCTTCTATATCCCTTTATGGGGCAGTCACTGCCAGAAAGTACTTGGGCAGGGTCTTCCAACTTCAATCAGAGCACTAAAAACAATTCCCACAGACACGTCCACAGGCCAGTCTGATATAGACACCCTTCATTGAGGCTCCCCTCTTAGGCCATTCTAGGTTGTAGCAGGTTGACAATCAAAACTATCAAAAACCAAGAAGTGAAGGTATCAGTGAAGGAAAACATCATCTTAATCAATCAAAACTCTGTGTGTATCACTATCTGGCTAGATTTGTGACAGGCCCCCAAACCTTGGCACAACTGACACCACGTTAGGAGCCCCATTCAGGCCTTGAAAGCCAGCAAGTAGCTTGCAACTCCTGACAAAACTGGAACAAAGTTTCAGTTAATGGGTTCCCAAGAAGTCTGTAAGCAAAAAGTCCCTGAACATACTAACATGGCTTTTTGGCTTCTGAAGTTCTGCTTCTTGCTAACCAAAATGTGCCCAGCCAGGATATGCAGTCATTGGCTTTAAGATGGGCAGTGTGGTCAGACAATGGTAGTGTAAGCCTTTAATCCCAGTACTCAGGAGGCAGAGGCAGGCAGATCTCTGTGATTTCGAGGCCAGCCTGGTCTACAGAATGAGTTCCAGGACGGCCAGGGCTACACAGAGAAACCCTGTCTTGGGGGGAAAAAAAGAATAGCTTTAAAAAAAAAAGATTGTCAGTGTGGTGGTTTCTAGTGGACTACCTCACTGCTGTTTTCTCATCTTGACACAAGCTAGAGTCATTTGGGAAGAGGGAGTATCAGCTGAGATGGGTCTGTGGGGCATTTGGTTGATGGTTAATGTGGGAGGGTTCAGCTCACTGTGAATAGGATCATCACTGTGAGTGGTGATCCTGGGTGCTATGAGAAAACTGGCACTGAATTGAACTGGCTTACCCCAGTAATCAGATTGGTGAACACCTTAAATGTCATCATAGAGCCTTTCTCCAGTAACGGACGGAAGCAGATGCAGAGATCCACAGCCAAACACCAGGCTGAGCTCCAAGAGTCCAGTCAAAGAGAGAGAAGAGAAATGCTATGAGCAAGGCCATCAAAATCATGATGGGAAAACCTGCAGAGATGACCAAACCAAACTAGTGGGAACTCATGATATTTAAATCAACAGCTGTGGAGCCTGCATGGGACTGGGCTAGGCCCTCTGCATAGTGAGACAGTTGTGTAGCTTGATCTGCTTAAGGGGCCCCCTGGCAGTACGATCAGAATCCATCCCTGGTGCATGAGCAGGCTTTTTGGAGCCCACTACCTATGATGGGACACCTCACACAGCCTTGAGGCAGGGGAAGGGGCTTGAACCTGCCTCTACTAAATGTGCCTCTCCATGGGAGGCCTTACCATCTTGTAGGAGGGAATGGGGGGGGGTTGGGAAGGGGAGGCTGGAGGGGTGGGAGGAAGAGGGGGATCTTTGATTGAATAAAAAATTTTCTTAAAAAAAAAAGAAAAAAAAGAAAAAAGGCAGAGCAAACCAAAGAGAAGCAAGCCCATAAGCAACACTCCTCCATGGTCTCTGCATCAGTTCCCACCTCCAGGTCCCTGCCATGGCTTCCCTCAGGGATGGATTGTTACCTGGAAAAGCAAGATAAAACAAACCCTTTCCTCCCCAAGTTGCTTTTGGTCGTGGTGTTTTAGAAACCCTAAATCAAGGCCGTCATCATAGTCCTGAATCAGACTGACTCCATGCTTTGCCCCTGAGTCACAGAATCTTTTCAAACAAAAAGACTTGGTTCAAGTAAGGTTTTGAAGTTTGAGCAGGCAAACAGACATAATGAAAGTGTGATGAAATAAGCACTCAGGAGCTTCACTTGGACCCTTACTAAATCCAAGACTGGCAGTATGCTTGTCAGTTAGAAAATACTAAAGAAAATTCCAAATGCCTTGGACAGATTTCAAAGCATCTAAAATAAAAATATTTAAGAAATGGAAAAATCTGAGAACTAGAAATTCTGTCAGAAGAGTTCCTTGAGGTACTCAACTGTCACTGTAGTTGAAAATAAATATCACCCAGCTTTTCTGAAGGCCAGAAGGATGTGTTTCCAGCAGAAGTAGGTACAAGTCTGAGGTGAGAAATGCAGAGCTAAATGGTTTTCTCCTTACAAGTCATAGAGCAGAAGATGGCTAGACCTACCTGATAGAGTCTTTTCCAGGTGAAAGGGAGTTCTTGATGTAATGTCCTTTCCCAGTTGATGAAATCACCTTGCTTTCCATTTTATTTCTTTAGCTTTCCCTGTTCTGGGAGTTCACTGTAGAAACACTGGAACCAATTCTGGATTGTCATGCTTAACAGTGCATTGCAGCAATGTATGTTTTTCTTTTCTAGACATGCCTCAGACACTCATTTGCTTAATGTTTATAGGATGCTTAGTAATTTTTGAAGTCGATAGTAGACGATTGTCAAAAAAGGAGTAGATACTAGATTTAGAGGAACTGAAAGGAATCTCTAAAAGTGCTAAAATATTTGGCTGCTTTTGACAGTTGATGCCATTGGTTGATTTAATAGTCAATTAAGATGACTAAAGTTAGAGATGCAGTGAATGTGAGAAACACAGTGAATGTGAGAAACCAATCAGTCTTCACTATATTCCTAGGAGTCATTTGGAGCCTGAAGCCAAAATAAGTTTCTGTTTGCCATAAAACTTAAGTTTCTGTTTCTCAGAGCTGACTGCATCCTATCCCAGTAACCATAAAATGTACCATAAACCAACTACCCAGAGCCACCTGGTCTCAGAAATGTTTATGTGTGTGTATATATAATATATATGGTATCTATAAGATAGATAGATAGATAGATAGATAGATAGATAGATAGATAGATAGATAGATAGATAGATAGATAGATAGATATCAAATGCCATTACAGAATCTACTAAAAGCCTCCTGTGACTGGATGACCGGCTCCTGGAACTGGGTAAATTAGACCCTTCCAAAACAGGATAAAAATCTGCCAGGGCAGTGCTTGTACAGCCAACTCAAAAGCTTTCTACCTTCCTCTCTGTGACTTTCAGTTCTCTCCTTCCACCACGTGGGCTCCTGGAATGGAACTCGGGTCTTCAGACTTGGCAGCAAGAGCCTTTACCTGCTGAGCCACCTCACTAACCTGCATATGTTTGTAAATGCCTTGCACCTGGCCAGATTGAGTTGGGATGGGAAATCCAGCAGCAGTGGGTAACTGTGTATAGGGCCACTCTGCAGGGATGCCTTGTGGCTTGACTCCACTGAGATCTGGGGAGTCTGTGGCCTCAGCTCTCTAGCTGCAGGCCTTGTATCACCCAGTTCATTTCTTTCTTCGTCATACCTATCTTTACAAGAAGTCTTGCCCACAACCTCTTGCAACAGTCTGTAGACCTTTTCTCTCTAACTCAAGTTCTTTTTTCCATGTAATGATTTTTCAATCCCAGATTAGCATAACAGGAGTGAAACCAGACTTCTGAGGAAAACTAGATGCCTGTATCCCACATCCACTTGGAGCATTTTCTGAGGATAACTGTCAGACACATTTGTTACAGAAAGCAAATGGGACTTTTTTGAGCTACCAGGAAAGAAAGGAGGTCAGGGATCCAGGGTGTAGACCCCCCACCAGCTGAACACTGAAAAGACAGCTGACTTGGGATTAGATATTAGGAAGTAAAGGTTGTAGCCTGGATTTAGGGGTCCTTGAACTTCAGACTGGATATCTGCAGGTTCTAAGGCCCCAGTATGGTGGTTTGAAAGAAAATGGCAAGCAAAGGGAGTGAAACTCTTAAGAAGTGTGGCTTTGTTGGAGAAATAGAATATATAGTTATGAAGAGATGGGATCGGGAAACTGGAATGGGAGAATTAAGTGGGGGAAAAGATGGTGATAAGGGGGAAATGTGGGGAGAGACAGCTAGAGTTAAGGGCTATTTGAGGGGTAGTATGGAAACCTAAAACAGCAGAAGTTTCCTAAAACATACACATATGTGAAGTCAATTTC